AGAGAGGCTCACAAACTACCTTCCCTTCCCCTCCCCACAAGAGACACCCTGTGTGGTAAAAGAAGAAGAAGAAGAGATTGGATTTATACCCCATGGCCCTTCACTACCCGAAGGTGTCTCAGAGAGGCTCACAAACTACCTTCCCTTCCCCTCCCCACAAGAGACACCCTGTGAGGTAAAAGAAGAAGAAGAAGAGATTGGATTTATACCCCATGGCCCTTCACTACCCGAAGGAGTCTCATAGCGGCTTACAAAAACTCCTTTCCCTTCCCCTCCCCACAACAGACACCCTGTTAGGTAGGCGGGGCTGAGAGAGCTCTTCTGAGGACTGCCCTTGAGAGAACAGCTCTGAGATGAGATGAGAAGAAAAGATTGAATTTATACCCCAACCGTCACTTGGAGTCTCAGACTGGCTGACAACCTCCTTTCCCTTCCCCTCCCCACAACAGACACCCTGTGAAGTAGGCGGGGCTGAGAGAGAGCTCTGTGAGAACTTGTGACTGTACCCCAAGATCTCTTTCACACACTCTGCTACCCGGAAGTGTATCCCTCATCCAGTAAGCGTGTTCCTCATTTTCATGAGGAGTTTGCTGGAATAAGGTTTCGAAAGTCAAAGATCTCGCCATCAAATAAGAGCCGGAATGGAGATTTCTGAGTCAAGTACCATGCACATCGTAATCAGTTGGATCAGAGCAGGGGAGAAATGCTGTGGGGCAGAAAATCAGCACTTGTAAGTGAGATAGGAGCTGCGGTGGCTCAAGTGGTTAAGACGCTGAACTGCAGGCTGTGGCAGGTCGGTAGTTCAGCAGTTCGACACCCAGGTGCCGCATGACGGAGTGAGTTCCCGTCTCTAGTTCCAGCTCCTGCCAACCGAGCAGTTCGAAAGCAAGAAATTGCAAGTAGATAAATAGGTACCACTTCGGTGGGAAGGTAACAGCGTTCCGTGTGCCTCGGTGTTTAGTCATGCCGGCCACATGACCACGGAAACGTCTTCGGACAGCGCTGGCTCTTCGGCTTTGAAACGGAGATGAGCACCGCAACCCTAGAGTCGGATTCGACTGGCTTTCGAGCAAGGGAACCTTTACCTTTACCTTTAAGAATCCTTTGTCCTTATTCAGCCATGGGGGGATGGGGTTCTGAATTTGTGAATGGACCCCCCTTCAGAGTTGAATAGGGACAGAGGCTTCTTATCTCACTATAGATGCCAGTTTTCTCCTCTGCTCCAATCTAGATGATGAAATTTTGCACTGCACCTCTACATCCGGAGTCCATCTTTCGCAACACCCCTCCTGCCTTCTGGCTGGGATACAAGGACTCAGAGATCTTGTATCTGACCTAGGGAAGCTTTGGCTCTCGGAAGCTTACACCCCGAAAACCTCATTGATCCGTGAGGTGCTAGTGCACTCAAATCTACTGCAGACCAACACGGCTATGCCCTCCGAAGCTCTCTCTCCGTCACGCCTTGCAGCAGATTATGAAGAATCTTCTCTTGCGGGCATGCTTGCCGTGCAGACGTGTCCAGTTTGGTGTAGTGGTTAAGTGTGCGGAGCCAGTTTGGTGTAGTGGTTAAGTGTGCGGGCTCTAATCTGGGAGAACCGGGTTTGATTCCACATGCAGCTGCTGGTGTGCCCTTGGGTCAGTCATAAGTTCTTTCAGATTTGTTCTGTCAAGATCAGTTCTCAAAAGAGCTCTCTCAGCCCCGCCTGCTTCACAGGGTGTCTGTTGTGGGGAGGTGAAGGGAAAGGAGTCTGGAAGCCGCTTTGAGACTCCAAGTGAAGGGCGGGGTATAAATCCAATCTCTTCTTCTTCTTCTTCTTCCTCCTCCTCTGTTCAGGAGGTGAGTTGTGGCCGTTGGAATACATTCCGCAGAAGCGGATATTTATTTCATTTATTTATTTATATTCTAATTTATATCCCGCCAGAGCAGGCTCAGGGCGGCTTACACAAAACAAAATACAGATTAAAACAAATCACCAAAGCCGTTTAAACAATTCATTAAAGTTTATTTATTTATTACTTTCAATTCGTATCCCGCCTTGCCAGCGAGCTGGCTCAAGGCGGCGTACAAAAATTAAAATGCGATAAAACAATAAATACAATATGATTCACATCAACAACAGTTTACATAAGGTGCTAATAGGTACAGACGGCGGTTTCAGTTCATGGTCCGATGAAGGTAGGCAATATCCAACGTTGTAGCATGAGGGCCATCGCGTGTACAGTTTCCGATGACTCATGCGTCAGTGGCAGCTCCTAATCGAAGGCTTGGTGGAAGAGCTCCGTTTTACAGGCCCTGCGGAACTGTAAAAGATCCCGCAGGGCCCTGATGTCCTTCGGGAGCTCATTCCACCAGTGTGGAGTCACCACCGAAAAGGCCCTAGCTCTAGTGAATACAATACAGTATTAAATTTTGAAGTGCTAGCAATGTTATTCCAATATCATATCAATGACATTGCTGCATGAGTGCATACCATATTTCCAGCATTGATCTTAACTCAGCGGGCAGAGGATTTCGATAATTCACCAGGAACCAGGCTCTACAGTTGTTAGTAGTGATGGTAACTAGGGATGGTGGCGGCTCCTAAATGAAAGCCTGGTGGAAGAGCTCCGTCTTGCAGGCCCTGCAGAACTGTATGAAGTCCCACAGGGCCCTGATCTCCGGGAGCCTGTTCCACCAGCGTGGCGTCTCTCGGACCAGGGAGAGTCAGGCGATACAATACAGTATTAAATATTCAAGTGCTAGCAATGTTATTCCAATATCGTATCAGTGGCGTTGCTGCATGAGTGCATACCATATTTCCAGCATTGATCTTAACTCGGCGGGCACAGGCTGTCAATAATTCACCAGGAACCAGGCTCTACAGTTGTTACTAGTGATGGTTACTAGTGATAGTAACTAGGGATGGTGGCGGCTCCTAAATGAAAGCCTGGTGGAAGAGCTCAGTCTTGCAGGCCCTGCAGAACTGTCCGGGGTCCCACAGGGCCCTGATCTCCTCCGGGAGCCCATTCCACCAGCGTGGAGCCACCACCAAGAAAGCTCTGGCCATGATGGAAATGGTAATGATGGTAGTGGTGGCTGCTCCTAATTACATGACTGTTCCTAATTACAGGCCTGGTGGAAGAGCTCCGTCTTGCAGGCCCGGCAGAACTGCAAAAGATCCTGCAGGGCACTGATCTCCTCCGGGAGCTCATTCCTCAGTGTGGAGCCGCCACCGAAAAAGCCCTGGACCTAGTTACAGCCAGCCTGGTGTCCTTAAAGCCTGGGAGGGCCAATCAGTTTTGGGTTTTTTTGGTTTTTTAAAATATTTTTATTAATTTTCCATCACCCACACCCAACAACATATGCTAAATTGTACCATTCTACATAGACGAGCATACAGCCTTTTTCTTTTTAAAGTTACAGTATTCATCACTCAGATCTCTTCCTGACCATTCTTTTTGATTTTCCATTTATATAGGTTCCCGCAATTTTTCTCAAAGATATCTTCATCCTTCCCTTTTAATATACAAGATAGTTTATCCATTTCAGCGACCTCAGACAGTTTTTGTATCACTTCAAATTTATCTGGAATCTTATCTGTTTTCCAGTACTTAGCATAACATATCCTTGCTGCTGTTATACAATGTAGTAACAAGTTTTTCTGTTCTTTTCTATATGTCTCGGGGGTAATATTCAATAAATATAATTCCGGACTCATTGGTATTGATTTCTCTATAATTTCCTTTAACATCACTCCAATATTCTCCCAATATTCTTTAGCTTTGCAGCATGTCCACCACATGTGGAAGTACGTACCAACCTTCTGTCTACATTTCCAACATATATTGGTCGATGTCTCAGAAAATTTTGCTAGCCTCGAGGGATATAAATACCATCTATGTATTATTTTATAAGTATTTTCTTTAAAGGAAATTGCTCTAGTAGTCTTCATATTTATCTCCCAGCTTTTCAGCCACTTATCAGGTTCTATATCATACCCTAAATCCTTATTCCACACTTCCAAACTAGCCTGCATCGTTCCGTCTTGCATCTTCCCTTCTGATAATTTCTTATATATATTTTTAATCAATTTTCCCCCCATAAAAACCAAATCTTATCCATATCTATTGATTTAGAATAGAACCCCGTTTTCTGGTCTTCTTTGTACCTGGTCTGCAATTGCATATATTGAAACCACGACAACTCTCTATTTTGAATTTTCAGAGTTTCTGCTGATTTTAAATCATTATTATTCTCTAGTAATTCCTCATAAGACCACCTTTTTTCATAATCAAACACAGTTGGCAACATTGAAGTTTCTATAGGTGAAATCCACCTAGGAATTTTCTCATAATATTGTTTTTTAACCTCTTCCCAAACTTTTAATAAAGTTTGTCTTAAATAGTGTTGCTCAAAAAATTTGATTCCTTTATTATACCAGAGGCTGGCATGCCACCCCAACAGAAGATCGTGTCCCTCTAGCTTAAGAAGTCTACTATTCACTAATGTTGCCCATTCTTTGATCCACACCATAGCAGAAGCTTTGTAATATAGGCCCCAATCAGGTAAGCCAAGACCACCCTTTTCTTTCCTGTCCTGCATCAGCTTTAAACTAAATCTCGGGTTTTTTGATTGCCAAATAAAAGGAGAAATAACCTTTTCTAAATCTTTAAAAAACTTCTTATTCTTAATAATAGGTAGTGTTTGGAAGAGAAACATTACCTTCGGAAGAACACTCATTTTAATTGTGGCAATTCTGCCTAGCAGTGATAATTGTAGATCTTTCCAACTTCCCAAATCTTTTTTGACATCCACAAACAATCTTTTTTGTGACCCTGACCGTAGTGCTCTCTGGGGTATATATGGCGAAAGGCGGTCCCTCAGGTAAGTCGAACCCCGGCCATAAAGGGCTTTAAAGGTAAGAACCAGCACCTTGAAACGAATCCAGTATGCTGTTGGCAGCCAGTGCTATGCTTTCAGGGCTGATACCGATGAACTCTCTCCTCCTCCCCACAGTTCGAGGAAGAGCAGCGCAAGATGGAACTAGAGGAACGGCGGCGGTTTCCCCTGGAACAGCGGCTGCGGGAGCACATCATCGGGCAGGAGAGCGCTATAGCAACCGTCGGAGCGGGTAAGGGTCCGTCCCGTTCGATTAGCCCGTTGCTCCACGGAGGCCTTCCGAGAAGCAAAAAGCAGGTCTCCATCACACCAACGGGGCGGCCTATGCCTGACTCACTTGCAGTGGTTCTGTGCAAGCAGTCAGAAATGTATGCAGTGTATTCCGAGCATGCCCCAGAGCCTGTCACCTTCGGGAAACTCTGTTCCGTTCTTGGGAAATAAGTTTCTTGTGAGCTCCCGTCTCTAGTTCCAGCTCCTGCCAACCGAGCAGTTCGAAAGCAAGAAATTGCAAGTAGATAAATAGGTACCACTTTGGTGGGAAGGTAACAGCGTTCTGTGTGCCTTGGTGTTTAGTCATGCCGGCCACATGACCACGGAAACGTCTTCGGACAGCGCTGGCTCTTCGGCTTTGAAACAGAGATGAGCACCGCAACCCTAGAGTCGGACGCGACTGGCTTTCAAGCAAGGGAACCTTTACCTTTACATGATGTTGGCGAGGGGAAAAATACGGGGAAATGCCAGATAATCAGTTATTGCCTCAAGCAATCTGCGAAGAAACGGGATGAATATTTATTAAAGGGTGCAAATCTGTTTAATATAGGGCAGGAATTTTTTTTGTATAGGACTGGGGGGGGGGGGATGGCTGCAGGGACTAGGAAGTGGGGCGGCAGAGGGCCTGGTTCCCAGTG